AATGTACGTTTCCACTTTTTTTCTTTTTTTAATGCACTCTATGCCATGTCTTAATGTGGTACAGGTTGAAACTGCATAATCCGGGGTTCCCTGGTCCAGCATCATTGGGGTGACCCTGTGGGAGGACTCACAAGGATAACCTGGTGGGCTGGGACCAGGAGTGTTTCCAGACTAGAGAACTGAGGGTATGTCTACACTACCACCCTAGTTCGAACTAGGGTGGTTAATGTAGTCAACCGAAGTTGCAAATGAAGCCCGGGATTTAAATATCCCGGGCTTCATTTGCATCTTGTCGGGCGCCGCCATTTTTAAAGCCCCGGTAGTTTGGACTCCGGGCCCGCGGGTACACGTGGCATGGAGTAGGTAGTTCGAATTAGGCACGGAGTAGGTAGTTCGAATTAGGCATAGAAAGCCTAATTCGAACTACCTACTCAACTACCTACTCCGTGCCGCGTGTAGCCGCGGGCACGGAGTCCAAACTACCGGGGCTTTAAAAATGGCGGCGCCCGGCAAGATGCAAATGAAGCCCAGGATATTTAAATCCCGGGCTTCATTTGCAACTTCGGTTGCCTACATTAACCACCCTAGTTCGAACTAGGGTGGTAGTGTAGACATACCCTGAGAGAACAGAGCCCCAGATGTCAGCAGAGCTACCAGATGGAACACAGAGTCCCTGGTCAAAAGAAGTAGGTTGGTAGCCATTGGAGCTACTGGGCAGCATGCGGAGGCCCAGGTAGAGGTAGAGCTCCATAAGGCAGCAGCATTCGCTGGAGGAGGGGAGTGTGGAGCCCAGGTGGCACCATGGGGCCTCTTGGGCAACAGCACAGCTAGTATGGGGAGAGTGAGATGCCCCGGGTGGTAGCAGAGTCGTGGGGAGACAGGGGGGAAGCGGAGCCCTCTCCCTCTTCTGTGGGGAGAGCAGAGCCCGGCGGCAGCGGAGCAGCCAAGAGGAAAATCGCAGCCTCTAGCACGTGACCTCCCCTAGGCTGGCAAATTCCTTGGTTTGGAACCTGTCAGGTCCCAAGGGTGTTGGATCAGGGAGGTTCAACCAGTAGTGAATAACTTTAAATTGTATTTTGGATGATTAGTTCTGAATTTCAAAAGGTGTTCATAATATAATCGGTATGTTAATTTATAGGAGTAGTTGTCAATTATACTTTTACAGGTATGGGTGTGGGACTTCTGAAATATTTTGTTGCTAAGTATAATCAGACATCCTAAGTAAAGCCTTTCTATTTAAAGTTTAGGCACTTATGAAATTTAGCACTTAAAACATTTTTTTTCAAACTCTTTGGTATGTTGCTAAAAATAAGGGTTTACATAGGTTTAGATAATTCTTTGGTTTTTTTTATAAAACTGGGTTAGTTTATTTTAAACTTTTATGTAAACAGTGGTACAAATTAGGGATGTAAAAGTGTAACTGTATAACCGGTTAACTGATAAGCGTCCATTTCAGTTACCAGCACCAGCTACACTCTTCATTGGCTGCAGGGAGCTGTGGCAGGCCTGCAGGGAGCCATGATTATCTACGTAGCTGATAGATATTCTGTGGGTTACATGGATAATAAGTTTTTGTTTGTTTTTGTATTAGGGATGTTAAATAGGATTAGATAGAATCTGATTTACTTTTTTTTTTTTTTTTTAAAGCAGTGCATTGAGTAGTCATTGAGCGAGTGATTTTTTTTTTTTTAACATTTTGTTTCAGAGCTCAATTTAGATATAAGGGCTTATGAACATCCATCTACAATGTCTGCAACTGCAGAGTTACCTGCTGAAACCACTAGCAGTATTTCAACTAAACGTGTCAGACAGTAAATCAGCTGTATCAGGAAAATGCATGGATGAGTTCATAAGCAGGGCTAGCAAATTCTAGCAAGATGAAACACCTACATAGATTGCTTGATTCATTTCATGAAACAAATTCTTCCTTTTGGCTTGTTCAGAGTAAACACTTAATGGGATTGCTTAGGTCATTATGACCAGGTTACATTCTACTGTCTGAGCAGATGCTGAAAAGTTACTGTATACAAGAAGGAAATCTGAAGTGTGAAAAATCTTTGACAGGGAAATTCGGTAATCTGAGTTTTGATTGGTAGAGCAGTGATCCGGTAATGTGTGTTTATGTGACAATGACAACCCCATGTTGTGGGTTGGTAATCTGAGTTTTGATTGGTAGAGAAGTGATCCAGTAATGTGTGTTTGTGACAATGACAACCCCATGTTGTGGGTGAGGACAAAGTCGCAGAGCTCTATAATCAGGTGTGTAATGCTGACATCGTGGATGGTATTCCTGATGGCCTGTAATCCATGGATGGTATTCCTGATAGCCTGTAATCCATCTTCATGTGGAATGTTGGTGTAAAGAGCTTCTACATCCATGGTGGCCAGATCCTGGATGACCCATCATCTCAAGCATTGGCACACTTACAACAGGATTATCTGGCTATATTGACTCTTTCCTCAGACTCTATGCTACCAGCTCTCCTAGCTATCTTCAAGATACCACTGACTTTCTGAAGAAACTACAAAACATCAGTAACCTTTCTGAAAACACCATCCTAACCCCATGTTGTGTTAATCATAGAATAATTGGCACTTCAGGAAATACCCATGCAGCAGAATACTTAATAGTAGAAATAAAAGTTATAACAAGCAACCCAAATTAAACAGTTGTGCACATAGCTTTGTTGTAGACAATGCTGCAAATGTAGCAAAGATAAGAAATCTAGACGATAATGAAGGGAACCTAAAACTTATAAAATACGGTGTGCAGTGCTCATTGATTTGCATTTTCTGCAAAGATTTAAGTACAACATCTGTAATAAAGGAAAACATTTTTGACATTGCAGAATATTTCACAGTAACTACTTTTTGCTTCAGTTTCACTGAACAAAGCAGGAGGATGCAAACTAATTTTCTCCCAGATGTGTGATGGAAATCAGTGGTTGGCTGTTCTGAGCTATTTATTGAGAACTGGCCTATTTTGATGACAATTTTGTGAAGAAAATCATAACAAAATAGATGGAACTCTCACAGCTAAAGTAGTCAACATTGGACTAAGGAGAAATGTTGAAGATATTCTGAATTACAAAAATCTATTTCTTTTTGCCTTGGGAAAGCTGCAGAAAGATAGCATCAACCATGCAGTGGCAGCTGAAATTTGAAAAGAACATGAAGAGACATTGGTGAAAGAAATATCAAGCAACATTACATTTTAGCAAGTAAAGAAGTAGATGGATCATGCACTTACTCCAGGTCTTTCTTGCCAATGTTCTTAGTCCAAAATGCCAGGGTAGATGTCCAACAGCTGAAGAAGATGCTGCTATGATTTAGGCATCTAATAATCAAGCCTCTGCCATGCCAACCATAATACATTTCAGGGCTGGAGCAGTACATGTTGGCTGAGTCTCACCACTAAACTGGTGGAAGTTCCTGGTGCTTAGTTAGTGACAAAGTTTGTTGAAGTGCTAAACTGTCTTTTCACACTAGTAGCCACCTCTGCAGACCTGCAAAGTATATCTTCTTCACTTTGACTAAATCATTGGAAGTTGAAACAGCAGAAAGACTTGCCTTTCTCTTTCAGTCTATGGACTAATCAAGGAGGGAAGAGATGAGATCTAAGTTTGAAGGACCCAGTAAGTAACTTAGACTGTCTTGTTTTCAAAAGTCACAAGGGAGTAGAAATTTAAACTCCAGTCACTTTCACTTGCACATTTGAAAAGTTTCCCAGGCTGATTTGAAATCAATTTAGTTCACTGACTATAGTAATCCCTCTGTTCCTTTAATCTACTATATATGTAGTCTGAATCCATTTGTTCAAGAACTACTAAACTGCAAGAGCTAGGACCACCACATTTGGGTATGCAGCTTCCTCTTATAACTTAAAGCAAGGTCAGGGCTTGGTTGTGCCAGGACAATGGGATGTGCATGGAATATGATCGTTTCTCATCAAACGGAAAGGGAGGGGTGTGATAGCAGGGACAGTTACTCATGAATGACCACACAGGGGCAGCATGTATCCCAACCCCGTGGAGCAGCTGGGCATCACAGCCACAGGACCCTGCGCGCGCGCGCGCGCACACACACACACACACACACACACACACACACACACACACACACACACTAGCCCCAGGCGCACGCACGCGCGCGCGCACACACACACACACACACACACACACACACACACACACACACACACCCCCCCCCCTCCATGAAGGACTCAAGCAACACCAGGTAAGTCTTCTAGTAATAAATATTTAGTTGTAAATATAAAACCTGTTTTGATAAGCAAAGTTTATGTATCAAAAACATTTAACTTTTTTCTTTAATGCAGACAAATTGTATATACTTTTCTGTGTTTTGTTTGTAAATTCTAGTTGCCATCCTAATGCAGCTTGACACAAATCATGAGCTAAAGTTAATTTTGTAGTAAATAAGTAATATGTTACTGACCTTTTTTCCCAACATACTGAAAATGTACAATTAAGAACAATCTGAAAATATTGAGATCTATCTGTTTAAATCTGTATAGTTATAGTGTACGTTCTTATTTTGCAAAAAGGTGTACCTAATCACATTTAAAGGCTTTACTTGTAACTCAACGTGGTTTTAATGTAAATCAGATTGGCTGATAGAAAACAGTGAGAAGCCATCTTTCGATAGGGGAAAAAAAACCCTGACTTACAAATGCAAAGGTTGATTTGAAATCTAATCTAAATTGAAGGTTTTCATTTAGTAATGTAAATGTCCTCAATTTAAATTAATCCACTCTGTTTACAACTGACTCTAAAAGGACCTTAACATTGCAATAGATATATACAGAGTCAAATTCATACTTCTTTGGAAGAGTTTTTGCTCAGCAGTAGGCTGACTGTAATGGAAGATGAGACTCCAATTCAATTTTTTGAATATGTGCCTGTCTCCTTTAGGAAATCTGGCCGAGGCAATTTTTAAAGAGGGGAGATGCTGCCCTAACTATGTTCATTTCACCCTTTAAGAAACTCTGAAGCTGTTACAGCGACTTCTGAAGTCCCCAGGGTGCAGGAAGATTCCAGTGCTGGTTCAGAGCAAAGATGATGTCATTGTAACAGCCTCCAACTTCAGCTCAGAGAGGTAATAGGAGTGGTGAGAGTGGTCTTTGAGACCTGATGGGGGTGGATTGTGTCTGTGTGGGAGGAGAAGGAGCAAATTCCCACAGTTTAGATGTATTAATGTTGCATCTGCTGCATAACAGGGGCAGCCCGTCCATATAGGCGAACTAGGCGGTTGCCTAAGGCGCCAAGTTAAATGGGGCACCAAATGGTGGTGCAATATCATTGAGGGATTTGGAGGTGGGGGCGCTGATTGCATGGTTCGCCTAGGGCACCAGTTACTGGCAGCTAGTCTAGGGCTGCCCCTGCTGCATAATACATTCTCTCCATAAAGGGAAAAAACTCCATGTATTCCTTTCTCAAATAGCAGGGAGGGGCTTGTCCTGGGCCATCCATGTAAGACAGAAATATAGTGCCCAGACCTCAGTGCAGGAATCTAAAGCCTCTCTTCTGAATCGCACAAGGAAAATTAGATGCAGTGTGGCTGAATTTCAAATATGAAGTGTTCTGCAAATAACTTTGCCTGCCAAACTTTCCCCTGCCAGTTTTAGAACTTTGAATCAAGGTGAGGGGACTAACTTGCCTCCATCTGTTTCTCTTCCCTACAGGATGTGCCCAATATTCCAGATTTCCAATGTTACTGGTGAGAATCTGGAGTTGCTTAAGATGTTTCTCAATCTCCTGTCTCCCCGAACAAGTTACAGGGAGGAAGAGCCAGCAGAATTTCAGATAGATGACACTTACTCTGTCCCGGTAAGGAGATTGGTGCTGGGAAGGGCTCTCTGCCACATTTGAGATTGGACCAGGTGTGGGAGGTGGGCTGTGGGAAGGTGGAATTCCAGTACTGCTCTAACAGCATAGGTGAGTAACTCCAGTTACCGGTGGTTCTCTTTCTGGTGCAGGGTGTGGGAACAGTTGTGTCTGGGACAACACTGAGAGGCCTGATCAAACTAAATGACACCTTGCTTCTGGGTCCAGACCCATTGGGCAACTTCCTGCCCATTGCTGTCAAGTCCATCCATCGCAAACGCATGCCAGTGAAGGAAGTGCGTGGTGGCCAGACTGCTTCCTTTGCTCTGAAAAAGGTGAGTGTGTGGGGGTGAGTGAAGCGGGTGGGGATAACCCTCGTTTCTGATATCAAGAGCCTTAGCTCCTTCAGGGTACTTTCCAGTCCTGGTTAAAATAAGACCCCTTCCACTAAGGCTGAAGGGCCGGGCGTGGGGAGGGTTCATCTATCAGCACCATATAGTCTCTCTCAAACTTAGTGGATCAGATTCCACATTCCTCTTCATTTTCAAGTGTTGTCACCAGTCAAATATTTCTGTGCCCTTATCTTGGGCTATGATCTCACCAGATCATCTAAGATAGTAGGAATAGCTTGTAGGAGATGTCTCATTAAATACAAGTGTTGCAGGGAATCACTTTTCTCAGAATGGAGTTAATGTCATAGGTTTGAATCAATTTTAACTTTCAGTTAGGAGTCTCACTTTAGCTTTTTTTTTTTTTTTTTTTTAAACCAGAAGAATTATATTTGGTACAAGCCCTGGTATAGGGATAACAGTGCAGTGTAACTGCATCCAATTAAGATATTATATATCAGGTAATTGAATAGTCCTGAAACCACACACAATCTTATTAGTTACAGACTATTCAGTAGTTCCCAGGTTCGAGGCTTGCAGCTAGTGTGCTCTGACCCCATTTCTGAGGAGCCCCCTGCCACCCAGAGGCAGCAGCATGGGGTGGCAGGTGGGAGCCAGTCCATGAGGAGAGCCAGTTTAAAAAACAGCTCCCCGCACAGACCAGCTGCCTGCCACCGTGTGCTGCTGCCTCTGATACAGCACGGGGTGTCAACAGCCCTTGTCCATGCGGGGTCTGATCTCCCCAGCAAAAGTTTGCTCTGTGGGATGTGGAGCAGCTTGTGACCATGGGGAGCTGGGAAGGCCTCCTTCCCTCTTCCCATTCCCCCCCCCCCCCATAGGGGCTGCAGTGCACAAGC